TGCAGCGTCGATTAATCCCACTCGCGTACACAAATTCAGTGGTGAGCTGTCTCCACAAGAAGTTATTTTGACTCCTTAAAATGTACTCACTGGGCAATGAATTCCAGTACACTTGTAATTTAAACTCTTATGCTAGTTCCTTTATAGACTGTACCAGAATATTGACTTCAAGCACTAGAATCTAGCTGTAGAGTCCTTTGAGTTGCACCGCGTTTATATGACCTTGTTAAGCACTCGATTTCCAGCCAAGCCAGTTAGTTTAGGCCCCACGTTGGGCGCCAAAATGTAACGACGTCGGTTTTATTCTGTTCCTGAGCACTCATACATATGTTTCAAGGGCCTAACTCGCCTCCTGTAGCTGGGTGCATTCACGTCTCCGTACTCTGCTTTTGGCCGGTACCGCGGTCGAACTCTCTGTCACGCACAAAGCGCGACTCCTTAAAAGAGTCTACCAAGGCCCAAGGGACGTTAAATAAACAACTTACATATTAAAATAAACCCCTGTCACAGTTAGAAGCTGGTTGGGTGATATTGGTCCCATTGTTTCTGTAGGGTTTGATGTCTCCGTGGAGAGTGGTCGGCTGTTTACGATGGTTTCAGCCTCGACCATGAGCGTACTGAGTGACTCGTCGTCCAGCTGGGTGCCTTGACGATCGAGCAATACGTTAAGCACGTTTCTAACAGATCTGATTTGGCGCTCCCACACGCCGCCCATGTGGCTTGCGYRTGRAACGTTCATCTTGAACACRACCCAGTCGCAGTTCTCYTCCAAAAGGGYATCTCCAATCTTCTTATGGTCAAGCTCGGACAGTGCTCTTTGGAGTTCATTTTTGGCTSCTACAAAGTTCGTTCCTTGATCCGAGCGCAGTTGTCTTACTGGACCACGTCGTCCGATAAACCTTCGGTAGGCGTTGATAAAGGAGTCTGTTTCCATTGTGTGGAGGACTTCGATGTGGATGGCGCGCGAAGCCATACACGTGAAGATCGCGCCATATCTCTTCAATTCTTTGCGACCTTGTTTAATCAGAAAGGGRCCAAARCAGTCAACTCYTGAATAGGTAAAGGGGGGTGTAGGCTGAAGCCTGTCCTTTGGTAGATCAGCYATCTTTTGTCCTTGCGTCGGACTTCKAAGCTTTCTGCACTTGATAMATCTAGAKAYGTGCTGAAGGATGACAGCTTTCCCTCCGACAATCCAAAAGCSGGCGGACCGAATTTCGTTCTGCGTCATACCTCGCCCTTGGTGGTAGATCCTTCCATGGAAATGACACAGGATCAGGCTTGTCACATGGCTTTCCTTTGGTATGATCAGAGGGTGCCTTTAATGGTAGGGTATATCTGCAAGGTTTAAGCGACCACCAACCCTGAGAAGTCCATCTTAGTCGAGGAAGGGGTCTAGACGATGAAGGCTGCTCTCTTTTCTTCAAAGCTCGTTTACGCTCTGTAGCAGTAGCCCTGTCAACGTCTTCCATTTGTATGCTCATAGAACTAAGAACTTTCATCTCTTCTTCAAAGTGTTCYTTTTGTAGTTCTTTGATAATAATTCTTTCGGCGTCTTGTAAATCCTTTATTTCCACAGGTCTATGCTTCTTATTCGATCGTGTTGTTGGCTTGGTTTCATCAGTGCCTTGCACTCTGTTCTTGGTCTTCAACCTTTCTTTCAGGCGAAGGCAGATCGCAATGGCCCTTTTAGCGCGGTGCCAATCCAAAAAGTACTCGAGTCTTTTCAGAATCGACGAGAACTCCTCTACTTTCGTGGCGAAGCAGGTTTGCTTCTTTACCTCTGGGTCATATTGCTCTGGTAGTGGTATCTGTGGCGGTTCCTGGGCTGTTGCGTCAAGACTCCACAGGAACTTCGGTCCATTCCACCAGGTTTCGCACTCGAGAAGTTCTTTTGCGGAGAGTCCGCNAAAACTCTTAAATTTATTGTATTGTGATGGCACATTTTGATTCGCATGAGTCCCAAATGCTTACAGTTGGACACACTTCATCCAACTGTCACGGATGGTAACAGATTGAGGTAGGGGCAACATTCGTCTTGAAAACCTGATTGATTTGGTATCCCTGTGTTGTACGAATCATATGAATACTAATGAGAAGGGCACCCATCTCCAACTGACAGCGATCCGTTACAGTTGGAGACAGTTGGAGGAATGGTATCCCTGTGTTGTATGAATCATATGAATACTAATGACAAGGGCACCCATCTCCAACTGACAGCGATCCGTGACAGTTGGAGGAATGGTATCCCTGGGTTGTGTGACTCATATAAATACTAATGAGAAGGGCACCCATCTCCAACTGACAGCGATCCGTGACAGTTGGAGACAGTTATAGAGAATTGTTAAAAAATTAATGTTAAACTTGAAATTTTAAAATTGAAATGTGATAAGTATGCAATAATAGCATTCAGGCTGATACTAGTATAAGAATATGTTATACGTACATTGAGAATTTATTGTAATCCATCACTAATGCCGAATTCACGAATAACAGAGAAACTGTTATGAAGCAATGATTATTTATAAATACTGACAAATCGACGGCGATCGGGAATAATCCTTGAAATCATCGTTGAAGTTTTATAACATCAAGAGGTCATTCATTTGTATAAAGTTATCTGATCAGCCGGCTAGTTCGAACTGACAACTTTTGTCAAGAATCCAAGATGACGGACACTTCGGCGATATTAAACAGATAGAAAAGTACTCAAAAACTATGAACAAGTGCTTAAAAGAAATAACAAAAGCTTTCTCATTGAAGAATTGTATATTAGGGTTTTGTATTTGTTAAGTTTCAGGCTTGTTGGCTACCATTTTAGGACATTTTGCATCGAAAAAAGTCTCGCCTTCTCCACTCGTCCAGCTTGAGGAAATTAAATTCAGTACAGTTACAAAGTGAAATCAGCTCAAATAGTAGCCAGCAAGAGGTATTTTTCTGTTTAAATGACTATGTTTATAATTGTTAAAACTCCAACAAATTGCTTTAAAGTGTATCAAATCATCGTTTTTATTTCAAGTAAGTCTCTTTTGAAAAGAAGTTTAATTTCTTCACAGGTAGCCCAAGCAATAGACTTGGCAGTGAAGAACGAAAAGTTCGATAAAAGTGGTAAAACTGAATAAGCGCCAAACGGGCAACCCAGGCCCCTTGACCGTTGATTGTCCGTTGGCTGRCCAYAGTATGGAGMRTCRMGSCTTTTTCCMGATTTTTGGAGAGTCGATCTTCGTGTTTGAACGGCTTTAGTGCATAGTCAAGAGCAGGTAGGCCTCTAAGACATCAACATTAAGATGTATTTATGCATAACCAAATGTGTGATGGCAGTCAATTTGCACGGCAAGTGTTTTTTTGGCAAATAAATGCTTGAATTTGAAGCCGTGACGATTGTGTTTTTCGTCGGTTTGTCTCCAACCTTGTCATAATATATATAAGTAGGGGAAAGTTTACCATAATGAGCTGAAACTTCACAGGGGYGTTGAGAAAAATAAGAAGAACACTATGTTGTAGTTTGAAATAATTTTATTCAGTTTTACCACTTTTATCGAACTTTTCGTTCTTCACTGCCAAGTCCAGTGCACGGCTGTTTCGTTCGAAGATAATTCGGACATTAGGTTCCAGTCTCTAAGTTCTATGATCCGCGCGCGTTTCTTGACACGAGAACGAGGCATTGATTCCTGTTGACAGTATGTTTGTGGCACGAAATGTGTCCCAAAACTATAGAAAAATCTTCTAGATTTCGAGCTTGATTTTGTCATTTTAGATGGCTTATTGAAAGACGTTTGGAACTTTTTCTTTTTGCAGGTACGTCTGATTTATGTTC